GTTGGTGTGTCAGGATGCTCTGTGTAGGTGTGTTGGGGTGCTCTGTGTAGGTGCGTTGCAGTGCTCTGTGGAGGATATTGGGGTATTTTATGTAGGTGTGTTGGGATGCTGTGTAGGTGAGTTGTGGTGCTCTGTGTAGGTGAGTTGTGGTGCTCTGTGTAGGTGAGTTGTGGTGCTCTGTGTAGGTGAGTTGGGATGCTCTGTGTAGGTGTGTTGGGTGCTCTGTGTAGGTGTGTTGGGTGCCCTGTGTAGGTGTGTTGGGTGCTCTGTGTAGGTGTGTCGGGATGCTCTGTGTAGGTGTGTTGGTGTGCTCTGTGTGGGTGTGTCAGGATGCTCTGTGTGGGTGTGTCAGGATGTTCTGTGTAGGTGTGTTGGGGTGCTCTGTGTAGGTGCGTTGCGATGCTCTGTGCAGGATATTTGGGGTGTTTTATGTGGGTGAGTTGGGGTGCTCTGTATAGGTGTGTTGGGTGCTCTGTGTAGGTGCATTGGGGTGCTCTGCTCCGGGGGGGTTCTATGCGTAGTTGTGTTGGGGTGCTCAGCGTAGTTGTGTTGGGGTGCTCTGTGTAGGTGTGTTTGGGGGGCTTATAGTTCTCAAAGGAATAAAAGTGCAGTGAGGTCACCTGTAGTCCATTCATTCTTCCTCCCATCCCGGAAGAGTCTGCAGGAGCCAGAGCATCGCACCCCCCAGGCACAGATCACAGCTGCAATGCTTTACTGGCTGCAATGCAAAAAAATAATAAACACCCATGGTCTGTTTTATGAAGATGTGGGCTGGTGTGCTCTTCCCCACTGAAATGAATGGGCTGCCAGCGCACCCTAACATGCCACAAATCAGTACTCTGCACCGCGCCACAACGCAGGTGCATTTCCTCAGTGCCTTTTAAAACGAATGGCAGCGCAACACAGTAACATGCATTGACATTGTTTAGGGTATCAGAAGTGTTAATTCATGCTACGCCTGTTCCTGCAACGCAATACTGTCCACATATCCTAAAAGTTTCATGAACTGAGCTACATCTGTTTCAAAGCCAGCTATCATGTCCCTGACTGGAAAACATATGTCACTTCATTCAACGGGTCCTGAAACTTATAGTGTGTACGGGTCCTTAAGGTTAGCATTCACAACTCTGCGTTCAGTTTACGAGCGCCAAGCACAAATATGCGCACTTTTGCACGCTTTGACAAAATTGTGGCAAAATGCGCTTGCAATGCCATTCATTTTTAACAACACCCCAAATGTGGCCAAGAAGAAGCAGGTTTTTGTTTCACATTTGCGTGCATTGAAACGTGCACAAACGCAAAAGCAAAAAAAAGATTTCGCGAGATGAGCTTTTTTGCTGCTGTTATTGCGCGTTCAGGTCCCATTGAACTCAATGGGAACGCGTGGCAAACGCAGCACACAAACGTGCACGAAAGTTACGCACGTTCACGGAACCCGCAAGTGTGAATGCGGGCTTATAGTATAACTCCTAAAATATATAGTGCATTCGGGTCCTAAAAGTTAGAGGGGGGAATCTATCAAAACTGGAGGGGTCAAAATCTGGGGCAGATTTGCACTGCAACCAATCAGCTTCTCTCTCTCATTTTCAAATCTTACCTGAGCAAACTGAAGAGAGATGCTGATTGGTTGCCATGGGCAACTGCTCCAGATTCTCTCTGCTCCAGTTTTAATAAATCCCCCCCATAGTGTATGCAGGACCTACATTTTTTTTTTTAACTGCGCCACATCTGTTTCAGAGAAGCAACGCAAAACCTAAAAAGCAGTAACCATGTCCCTTAATGGAATTATAAAAAGTCAATCCATGTCCTAAATGTTTTTTTTTAAATTTAAACACATCTGTTCCAGAGAGGCCAATCAAAACCTAACAAAAAAAAAAGTTAATCCATGCAACTAGCCCTAAAATATAAAGTGTTTAGGAGTCCTAAAATATATAGTGTATACGGGTCCTAAAATATATAGTGTATACGGGTCCTAAAATATATAGTGTATACGGGTCCTAAAATATATAGTGTATACAGCTCCTAAAATATATAGTGTATACGGGTCCTAAAATACATAGGGGGGGGGGGAATTTATCAAAACTGGAGCAAAGAAAATCTGAAGCAGCTGTGCATGGCAACCAATCGGCTTCTCGCTTTAATTGTCAAATCTTAACTGAACAAACTGGAGAAGCTGATTGGTTGCCAAGCACAGCTGCTCCAGTTTTGATATATTCCCTGCATAGTGTATATGGGTCCTATACGTTTTTTGTAACTGAGCCACATCTGTTTCAAGGCGACGACACAAAACCTAAAAACCAGTAACCATGTCCCCAAATGGAATCACAAAATGTCAGTTCATACAACGGGTCCCAAAAGTTTTTTTTAATTGATTCACATCTGTGCCGGAGAGGCCAATCAAAACCTAACTAAAATAAAAAGCCAATTCCTGCAGCTGGCCATAAATGTTATAGTGTATACGGCTCCTAAAATATATAGTGTATACGGCTCCTAAAATATATAGTGTATACGGCTCCTAAAATATATGTCAAATCTTAACTGAACAATCTGGAGAAGCTGATTGGTTGCCATGCACAGCTGCTCCAGATTTTGTCTGTTCCAGTTTTGATAAATTCCCCTCTGTGTATACGGCCCCTAATAGTTTTTTTTTGTAACTGAGCCACATCTGTTTCAGAGCAGCAGCTCAAAACCTAAAAAGTGCTAACCATGTCCCTAAATGGAATTACTAATATTAGTTCATACAACGGGTCCCAAAAGTTTTTTAATTGATCCACATCTGTGCCGGAGAGGCCAATCAAAACCTAACTTAAATAAAAAGCCAATTCCTGCAACTGGCCGTAAATGTTATAGTGTATACGGGTCCTAAAATATATAGTGTATATGGGTCCTAAAATATATAGTGTATATGGGTCCTAAAATATATAGTGTATACGGGTCCTAAAACATATAGTGTATATGGGTCCTAAAATATATAGTGTATACGGGTCCTAAAATATATAGTGTATACGGGTCCTAAAATACATAGTGTAAACAGCTCCTAAAATATATAGTGTATACAGGTCCTAAAAGTTTTCTCATTGAGCCACATCTGTTTCAGAGCGGCGACACAAAACCTAAAAAGCAGGAACCATGTCCCTAAATGTAATTACAAAGCAAGTCAACCCATGCAATGGGTCCTAAATGTTTGTATTTAATTGATCCACATCTGCTTGGGAGAGGCCAATCAAAACCTAACTAAAAAAAAACAAAAACTTTTTTTTTTAATTAAGAAGTTCTGCAGCAGACAAGCTGATGTGCCTTGAAGATGTGAGTGATATCTGAGCACAGCAGAGGGAACCCACTGTCATCCTGCCAGTAACACCCCCCTTCCCTCACCCCAACCCCCCCTTCCCCATCCCAACAGTGAAAAAGCAGACAGGCTGCCCCTGCTATGTGAGCAGTGGCTTCTAACAAGAGCAGCCTGTTTATGTGAGAAGGGCACAGCTGCAGCAGTCGCCTCTCCCATTGGTTCCCAGCAGCGGTGGTAACACTTCCCATTGCTGGCTGGGGAGGGGAGAAGGCAGCAGCGGCAGCAGCGGCGGCAGTGTGTCCAGTGCCAGGCTCTGCGCACAGACAGCACCAGCGGAGGAGGAGAGCGCCTGCTGCTCGCACAGCGAACCTGAGCCCAGGAGCGGAGAGGAGCGCAGAGGGGAGAGAGAGAGAGAGAAGGGGGAGAGGCTGGACCACACACAGCCCTGGAGCATTGCAACTATTGTGTGCAGAGCAAGAGCCTGCCTATCGCGAGAGTGTCCTCTTACCAACCTGCTCCAACAACACAGCGCTGCTAGGCTGCCACTAACACAGCCAGAGAGACACAGAGAGAGAGAGAGAGAGAGAGGAGGTCAGGTTATTTTATTTTATTTTTGTATAGGGTTTGGGGGGGTTGTTTTTTTGGAAAGGTTTGCAAAAAGCAGCAACTTTTTTTTTTGGGGGGGAATAGGGTGGAGCAGGCAGGCTTAGCCGTGGGAAACAACAGCGATCCGGGCTTAGATTGGCAGCTACATGGTGAAATCAGCCGGTGGGGGGGTGTTTGCGGATACAATGAGGTCTGTCTGCACTTCCTTAAACTCTCAGCAACCTGCTGCAGTTGGGAGCGACAGGCCCCAGGGGACTGGCTGCAAAGGTCACAGACGCTCTGCTCCCCCTGACCTCAACCCCCTGGGGTCTGATCGGGCAGGCTTTAGACCTCTTATCTTCCTCAGACGCTTTTAGGAAACTATTTTTTGCTAGATAGATGACCTGTCATATTTTTTTTTTTACCATGTGTTTATTTTTAAAAAGAAATAAACTGCAAAACTGATTTGTCATAAGTGATTGTTTGTAAATATGAAACATCCGCATAATATTACAATGAAAAATCTAAAAGCAGAATTTGGCATTTTTTATTTTAAAAGAAACATTTCAAGGGACAAAACAAAAACTTGGCCTTGGAAATCCAGGACATTTATACACTTTGCACGCTTTATTGCAGAATAATCTGATCATTCTCCAGCTAAATTTGTTATATGAGCATTCAGTGTGCTTAGGAGTTTGTTTCGGGCAGGCTAAAGTAGTATAAACTCCGTTCCGTTGACGCAGAGGTTGCTAAGTGCACCTGTAACGTCTTGAGGAACTTGGAGAAGTTGGCCGGCGGACGCGTGTCCTTGCCTGGTCTGACCAGCAGTTGCGGCCATGTAATCGATGGCTATAAATGGGGAAGTTGGGACTTTAAAAGGCAGCGAGCGGCGTGGTTGGCTGGTAGCTAGATTTGCAGTAACATATGGCATTAAGAGGAGCACAGCTGGAGGTAGCGCTTCCATCGTAGTGAAGGCAGAGCAGCTGACTTTCCAGCTTGCTGTGTAATTAGCAAAGCAAGCTCTCCTCTCTCTCTCTTTTTTTTCCCTGCCTCCTCCTCCTCCTCCTCCTTCACACTCTCACACTGACACAGGGACACACTGCTGCTGTTCTCTGCCTGTCTGCTGGAAGACCTGGTAAGACCACAAGCCATGGCAGAAAAGAAAGCCGTCTTACCTTAAAAAGTCCCTGGGGCTTACCCCCCCCCCGTAAACTGTTACATTCTTTTTGTCGCTTGGGGTGGGGGGGTGAGACTATCACTTCCAGGGTTCCCAGGGCACTTTAAACGCACTTTTGAAGCTTTCTTGCCTTAAAACTTTAAAACAGATTAGATAGCTGTACATGCTGATACGTTGTAGCAACTGCCGAGTTAATTGATCCAAACTTCAGAGGGCAGTAACCCGTAGCAACCCGCTTTCAACATCCTCTTGTACTGGGTTTCTTCTGACAGGTGAAGTCTGGTTGCTATGGTTACTGCATCTCGCCATATTACGTTAGCCAGTATAAGTATTGTTTTTATCTCTTTTTAGTCTTATTTTGGCTCATTTTTTTTAAATTTTTTATGCTTGTCTCTTTTTACTTTTACTTTGCAAGTCTGTATGGGTATTTGTTCTTTCTCTTTTCAGTTTTGCTTTGCAATCTCTCTGGGTCATTTTATGTTTATTTCTTTTTGTTTTGCAAGTCTGTAAGGATATCATTTGTTTTTCTTTTTGTTTTCTTTTTGCAAGTCTGTTTTATCTCTTTTTAGTTGTGTAAGTCTGTATGGGTATTTTTCTCTTTTATCTCTTTTGTTTATTAAGTTTTTTTTGTTTTTTCTTTTCTTTTACCATGGTTGTAAAACACACATCTGTTCAGTGCACAGTCGGTCGTAGTACTAGTAGTACAAGTCGAAATGAAGTTTTCTGAGACCTGCCGAGCCTTTTTTTTTCTTTTCTGTTTAAAAGGCAGCGGTTTCCATAACTACTCCCCGCCACCGGTCGGCTGCGTTGACCAGGAGGGACAAAGCTTTGAAAACTGCCTTGTGGAAGCCATTGTTTATTTAAAATCTAGTTTTTCCTGTTCCTAGCAGGTGCAGTTAAAATGAGAGGCTCGCCTGGAAAAAAGAAAAGGCAGCTAGCTGTAGAGAGAGAGAGAGAGAGAGAGGATTGTACAGTGGGCCTTGTGTGTTTGTCTTTTTTTTTTTTTTTTGTCTGTTGCCAGCCAGCTCTGGCTATTGCAGCTGCTAAGAGGATTTTGAGTTTACAGTAACCATCAAGTTTTTCCTGTTTCTAAACAGGTTATGAAGGAAGAATGGAGTTTCCAGACCATAGCCGACAGTTGCTGCAGTGTCTGAGTCAGCAACGTCACCAGGGTTTCCTGTGTGACTGTACTGTTTTAGTTGGGGAAGCGCAATTCCAAGCCCACAGAGCCGTCCTCGCCTCCTGCAGCATGTACTTCCATCTCTTCTACAGGGACCAGCTAGACAAAAGGGACATTGTCCATCTGAACAGCGACATCGTCACGGCCCCGGCCTTCAGCCTGCTGCTTCAGTTCATGTACGAAGGCAAGCTGGAATTCGGCAACCTCCCAGTGGAAGACGTGTTGGCTGCCGCCAGCTTCCTCCACATGTATGACATTGTCAAAGTGTGCAAGGGCAAGCTGAAAGAGAAGGAGCTGACTTCGGGGGAGAGGAACGGAGACGACGGGTCCAACCCGGAGAAGGACGTGCTCTCGGGTGGCGAGGAGCCACAGGGACGTGGAAACGGGGAGAGGAACTCGCCGGCGGAGGGCGAGAAGCCCGCGTGGAAGGAGAAGCTGGGCTCGCCGCCTGGTTGGTCGCCTGATTTGATAGGTGTCAACTCGGCTCCGGCTGAAGCTGTGTCGTGTAGGACAACAGCTGGGGCAACAAAGGCCAGTGTCAACAGTACTCCGTGCCCTTTGTCCCAGAGGTCTGCTAACCATACACAGCCTCCGAGTGATGGGGATTGTGCTCTGGATTTGTCTTTCAAGCCGGTGTCTGGGAAAGATTCCTTACACCCCTCCTACGTCTTTGGACAGCTGGCTTCCGACAGCCAGCAGCAGGGCACTGTGCCACTTGTTAAAGATGAACAAGACTTGCTGTCAGAGCAGGAGGACAGTGAAGCAAAGAGTCCAAAGAGTCAGCACGTTGGGAATGCAGCCAAGAGCCTCATGACGGGGCTGGGACACATGTTTGCAGGAAATGGAAACTCTCATGTTCGGGAAGATGACTTGTACCACGACCGCGACGAGAGCGAGGACGACATGGATTCATCAGATATATCCACATCGGGTGTACTAGTCTCCCCGGGGCAGATCTGCATCTGCCCCCTGTGCAGCAAAGTTTTCCCCAGCCCGCACATCCTCCAGCTCCACCTCAGCTCCCACTTCCGGGACCGCGACGGCTCCCGCATCAAGATGTCACCCGACGGCTCTGTCCCCACCTGCACGATATGCGGGAAGACTTTCTCGTGCATGTACACACTCAAGAGGCACGAGCGCACGCACTCGGGGGAGAAGCCCTATACCTGCGGCCAGTGCGGCAAGAGTTTCCAATATTCGCACAACCTCAGCCGCCACGCGGTGGTGCACACCAGGGAAAAGCCGCACGCGTGCAAATGGTGTGAGAGACGGTTCACCCAGTCAGGTGACTTATATAGACACATTCGTAAGTTTCACTGTGGCCTAGTAAAGTCCTTGGTTGTCTAGTAACAAAGATGGGCTCGTCCAGGAAGGCACAAAGCCGCGGGCATGGCCCGGTGACCCAAAGCCACCAATCGGAAGTCATCTTTTTACCGTATTGTCTGGTTGCTATGGGTTACTGTGCTTTTCTCATCATGTTGGCTTGTTACCTCTGTTTATGGCAGAAGCCCGGTAATGTTATTCTCCTTCAGCTGAACTCTGTAATAATCTCAATGATGGCACTGGTACTGCATATCAAGCTAAAGACCCCTATTGCCCCCGCCCCACAGCTCAAGACCCATTCTCCCCCCTTTGACAAATGTGATGGTATGTGACCATGGCCAAACTCTCAAACGTTGTATTTATCACCGGTTTTGCCTCCCCAGAGCCGGTACAGGCTTTTACATTGCAGATGCTGATAGTCTTATACGATAAAGCAGTGAAATTGCGGTATCCCACAGTAACCAATCAGCCGACATCTCCTAACCGCTTTAACTTCAGCAAAGTGAAATCTTATTGGCTGCTGTGGATTACCGCTCCTTGACTGTCTTCTGTGCTCCTTGCGCTGCCTTATTACATCAGCCCTGTGCAGGGACGGGACTCCACCCAACATTAACACACCTTTCACCTGAGATTCACACATTTTTCAAGTCACAGTGTGTGAATCTTGGGTGAATAGACCCCTACGTAGGGCAGTGCATATGGTATTTATAAACACTAACCTGTCGTGGATGCATTGCTATGTTGTAGTCAGTTTACAGCAAGTGAATCAATGCGATTGGTTGCAAGGGGGCATTGCGCATTGCAGTTAGCCTCAGCGGCATGCCGCGTGTCCAATCAATTGTAGAAATAAACCTAAGGACACCACACACGTTACAATCTGATTGAACAATCTCCCTTAGATCTACCAACAAGTATGTAGTGCAAGGGCCGGCCTGCCTGGAAACAGATTGGATAGTTTAGGCAGACCCTCCTATTACATAGCTTTGGTAGAGCTAAAGTTGATTGTACGGAGATTGCGGGGTTAGATTATAACGTGTATGGTAACCCTTTAGGCCAGGGGTAGGCGACCTTGGCTCTCCAGCTGTGCTGAAACTACAAATCCCATAAGGCATTGCAAGCCACAGGCATGACTCCCAGAGGCAAAAGCATGATGGGCATTTGTAGTTTCAGCACAGCTGGAGAGCCAAGGTTGCCTACCCCTGCCTTAGGCTAATGCGTCCCTGGTTCAGGCAGCAATAAATAAAACGCACCGGAGGGAATTTATCAAAACTGGAGCAGACGAAATCTGGAGCAGTTGTGAATGGCAACCAATCAGCTTCTCTCTTTAGTTTGTTCATTTAAGATTTGAAAATGAAAGAGAGAAGCTGATTGGTTGCCATGCACAGCTGCTCCAGGGTTGTGATAAATTCCCCCCACCCCTAATTAGTAGGGCGGATACTTTAAAAGCCTGTCCAAGACCGGTAATAAATATCGGGGGGAATTTATCAAAACTGGAGTAGTTGGCTGTGGCAGCCAATCAGCTTCTCTCTTCAATGTGTTCAGTTAAGGGTTGAAAATGAAAGAGAGAAGCTGCTTGGTTGCCACGGGTAACTGCTCCAGATTCTGTTCCGGTTTTGATAAATCCTCCCCAGTGTATATGAAGTGATGTTTTTCACCTGTATTGCACATCTGTCAGAAAAGAAAATAGATACTTTAAGCATTTTAATGTCTGTTTAATATCCGTCTGTTCACGTGAATGTTGCAGGTAAATGAAATCGAGGAAAAAAAGACTTGAATGTGAATATGAGAGTTTCCTCATTGTGTTCCGGCAAACCTCTGTGTAACCACTGGGTGTCTCAGAACCTTCCAACTTTTTTTCAGGATCATTTCTATATTGGGATATGCAAATGATTGTGCAGCCTAAAGGTGCCCATACACCTTACGATTATCGGACTAAACTTTTCGATTTTCGTACGACGGCCCCATCCTGCCCCGATTATCGCAAGGTTCAATCAGCGGTAGTTAGAAAAAAACACCTGGACGACTTGCGGTAATTGACCGCAATTATTTTCGTTTGCGCATGCGCAGTGTTAATCGTACAACATTTGACGGACGGAAACGCCACCAACCATGCGAACATCGTACGATCAACCAAAGTTTTCAAACATGCTTGACCGTCAAAAGTCGTACGATTGTACAGTACTATCGGTCGGGCACTCTATTCACATGTTACGATTGTCGTACAAAAAGTCGATCGCATACGATTATCGTACGATAATCGTAAGGTGTATGGGCACCTTAAGACTGAGTATTGGTTAGGCCCGGCTTCAAAAAACCGAAGAGACATTTTTAAAATATGAAAAATAATTTCTTTTACTACCTATATGAGGTAATTTACTAAAGGAGTTGAGAATGTTCACTCGATAAATCGTGCAACGATTCACTTCGATTACCATCCAGTGCCTGTTGACTTGTTTCATCCGCACATGACTGGATCATTAAAGTGAATATTCAATTTATCTATAGGGGAATTTATCAAAATCGGAGCCCATGGCAACCAATCTGCTTCTATCTTTCATTTTCAACGCCTTAGCACTTGTTCACACCATGTCTGGGGCAGATCTGCAAACGCAGTGCAGAGCATTTTTGCTGCGATTCTGACGCTTTTTTTTAAGCTTAAAGTTGGCTTTCACATGCCGTTCAGTGCGTTTGTATGTGTTTTTGTTGCATTCCAGACCAGAGAAAATTATATTTTTTATTTGTCTGGTCTGGAACGGACTGCTCTGGTATGAACTGAGCCCAGAAATACAATAGGGGTACATTGGGATGCTTTTTTTTGGTCCGGGAACTAACTGTTCTGGTCTGGATATGACCTGGACATGGTGTGAAGCTAGAAGCTGATTGGTTACTATGGACAACAGACTCCGTGTGTGAATATATATGTGTATATATGTGTCTTTAGTAAATCAGCTTTAGTGTGTACATCAGGGCTGGACAAATCCCAGGAGCCCAGTAGCTGCTGATCACATTGTTTTGTAATTTTTCTGCAGCCAATGGAAATTTTCCAACACAGAGCAATTTCTGCATCCACTATCAGGTGAATTTATCAAAACTGCAATAAAAAAGTAAACAAAGGTGGAGCTGCTGTCCGAAAGGATCAGTCAAGTCCCAGATTTTATCCAAGGGCTCCCCCTCTCCTTTACTTTTATTTGCTCTGCTTTTGATAAATCAGCCCCCCTCCCCCACCCACTGAGTACTCTCATGCATTACCACCAGTGACTTTCAAGCCATTGTTACACTGAATGACAAATGGCATTTTGGGGCCATCACAGCTGTATATTAATCTGGCTCCCAGCAGTATTTATCAAGTGGTAGCAAATTCCTTATAATCCAGAAGGCAAAAAAAAGGAGAACTGCAAACAGATCTTCCTTCTTCTTTTTTATTTTTTTGCAAATTTAGACTAATACTATATTTAAACAGGGCAGCTTGACTGAACTTCACATACTTCAGTATCTTGTCCTGCAAAGTATATTATTTTTTTTTCTAATTTTTGCAAATTTTGACTTATACTTTATTTGAGCAGGGCAGCTTGACTCAACTTCACAGCTTTCAGTATCTGGTCCTGCAAAGTATTTCTGTACTATTAGTCTGCAACAAGGAACCGACATCCTCCCGCAGCACTCCATTTTATTGCCTTATGTGATTGGCCAACTATAAGTATTCCGAATCGGTGTTATAACCCATGTGAGAGCAAGATTAACTAATATAATAAACATATAGATACTACTGAATGAAAGTATTGAACATCGGGCACGTGTTCTGTTGCTGTAAGTCATGACTATAGCCAGGATATAAAACTCTGGTGTTATAGAAAAGTGTTTAGTGCCCGGAAAGTGTCGTTTGAATTGTCCGGGCGCGTTCTTTCGTTTTTCAGCCTGGTCAGTTCTTTCATTTTGGCTTAATTTAAGATTCGGTGCAAAATGCACATCAAAAATTATTATAATTTTTTTCCCCGTCATCTGACGCAGATGAAATGTTTAGTATTCTGACAATGTGAAAGGTATTTAAATGGAATTTAAAACTGCAACAATAATTCAATTATTTATATATTTTATTTGTGGTCACAGCGTACAGTATACAGTGTTGCCTGATAACCGTTATCGGTCACAGTCCACTCGAAACAGTCGTTTTTTGTTGTTGTCAATCTCTAGCTGCTCTTTTATGACAAGGGTCTAAAAAATTCCAGAGTGAAGCTATTGTATCTAATGGTTTAAAACTCTGGTGTCTGTTGTACTCCCAACATCCTGTGCAAGACCTGAAGATGTTGAGGCATTAAAAGGCATACAGACAAGTGCAATGGTAGGCTATAGCAACTGGTCAGAGGTTTCAACGTTCAGGAGAAGGGAGCAAGTGTCTGGTTGCTGTGGGTTATAGCAAGTTGTGTTCTAGCTATATCACTGACGCTTGCTGCAAGAAGTGGGGAGTACACAATAAATGGGATATCCTCTCATTCATAGCATGCACTATTTTTTTTTTTTAATATATATATTTACTGACATCAAAGTTTTTGAGCTGTATTAGGCCTTTTTTTGGCAGTGAACAGTTGAAGGTGTATTAACTATACATGCGACGTGCATTATTACTTAAATATTAAAACAATTAGAAGGACAACCTTAGTTGCAGAACTTATAAAAATGAAAAATACATTTTCAAAAATGCTTGTGTAATGTGAAACACATTTAAAAAGACAGTCCAATCTCTTTAACAGATTGCATTTTTTTCTAAAGCTGTTACATTCATGTTGAAGGATGTATGATACTTTATATTATTATTATTTTTTTTGTTATCATTTGTGTGAACATCAATGTTGGGTAGTCTGCACCAAGGTACAATAGTTGTATTTACTGTTTTAGTTATATTTTGCTGTGAGTGAGAAATAGCACTGAAAAAGAAAAACCTACTAAAATTTAAGTTATTTTTTTTCTTCTTTTCCTGATTGTACTTGATATAGTATTTATTAGTTTTTATTTGAAGTGAAATGATTTATAATTAGAGATTTTATTTTAGTGTTTTTTGTTTGACCCTTTTTCAAGTCATGTGATCATCCACAAAGGATGCAATGATTTTTTTTTTCTTTTATTTTATTTGTATTTTATTTCTGCTCTAAACTATTTAATTTATGTAAACTTTAATAAAAGATGGAAAAAGTTATGTGCGAAACACTGGTAAATGACAAGGACAATTTGCTTCCACTTGCCGGACGAACATGGACATAGGTGCAGGATTTAAGAAATAGCTGTTGACTT